TAGTTGATATTGTTGTTCATAGGGTTTGGGTGAAACCTCACCTTAGAGAGCATGTGGCTCATCTCTTAAGGAGTTAGTGTTTATAAAATATTAATTTTTCAATAACTAATGTAAATACAAATCATACAAATTTATTATTAATTATTTTTCAGAAAAAACATATGTTAGGTTAGTGGTTGAAATTAATTTTATTATTAATAAATGAAAATATTTAATTATATGAGAATTGTTATTAAACTCAATAAATATTTAAAGAAAAAATATTTATTTATCTTCTCTCTAATAATATTTAATAAATATGTAAATTTATATAATATTTTATTCTAAAAGTAAAAAAAAAATAAGAAATTTCAAAATGTTATTTATATACATAATTATTAACTTTTAGTACATTAATTAATGACTAATTTTTATTGTAATGATTATTCATGCATTTTATAGTACATACAAAAATATATGTCGATAATACAAAAATTATTTATTATTTTTTCCTATGTATAACTTACGAAAATTAAATTAATAATTTAATTTTATCTTCTATATTGATTGATAATGATAATTATTATTTTTAAAAGTTTTATGGTTCTTAAAATTAAAATCCGTATGAAAATCTATAGAAAACTTGTAGATTTTTCTACATATTTTAATTTTAAAGACTAAAACTAAATAAAATTCAGAATTTAAAGACTTTATAAAAAAAAGGTTCGGGAAAAAAATAAAAAACATAAAAATTTATAAGGATAAAATAACTATTTAAACTTAAGAATTATTTAATATGTAGTCAAACAAATATCATATAATTATTTAACAAAAGTATCTTTTATATCTTTTTAATATTAAATTTTTTTAATTAAATTTATGTTAAAGTGTTTAAAGTGGAAATCTAAATTCTTTAAATATAAGGTGAATACAATTTATTTAGATTTTAATAGTATTTTTGTACAATATAATAACAAATATCTGTGACATTCAATTTTTACGGTCATAAATAAAATATTAAGAAGATGCTAACTCTTCAGTTGCTTAAAGTTTTTTTAAAAAAAGTTTGTATCGAGATGTAAAATATTAGTCTTTTTACAAAGTTTAGGAAGTGATAAAGAAGAAGTAGTAGTAATAGGTTGAGTGTTTGGTTCAGGTGTTTGCATGTTTAAGTGGTTTCTCCCTTACTCACTCTCTTTATTATATTCATACCATATGCACCCCTTCTCTCTGTACAGGCTATGATACCACACTGGCTGGGAGCCTTACATGCCATGAAACTCAGCCTTAACTATATCGTCCTCAAATAGCCAACCATAGGCATAACACATACTAACAATTAAAACTGAAATTTCATAACAGTAAGGACCGTAGTATGGATCAATGGTCAGATGTTTTCTGATACACAAGATCCTCATTTAGAGGCAAGTGTAGAGCATACTTGCATCTATGGGAGAATTATGATATGAATACAATATTAAAGCTTTGAGGGAGAAAGAAGAGATTTTTAGAACATGTTTATTCTTAAGTACACAAGAGAGTTTATTTGTGAATGCTTGATCAATATATGTTACAAAAGCTCTCCTTTTATAGCCAAGGAGGTACATATATGAGAAAAGCAACACTATTTACAAGCATGGCATTTTTAATACTATATGAATGCCTTTTTCAAAAGTCTGACACACTTATCACTTATGGATTACATTATTGCATAAAAAGACAAAATTTACTATTCATAAACATGTTTGTGATCTTTGAAGGACACTTGTCCATTTAGTCTTTGCAAATTGGTTTATGAGAGGGGGACATATTCTGATCAGATAAATTTCCATCAGAAAAGCAATCTCCATAGCGAGATGACTCACGGTGCCAGATGTCATCCACCATGTAGGTGTGATCCGCTAACCTCATATTAGCTTCTTCCACCCGTCCTTCAGAGAATTCAGTTTCCATTGGAGAATCTGGTTTCTGTTGTGTGGCTTGAGTCAAGCTTTCTCCAACTTCTGGTCTTCTGAACTTTTCATGATGTATGCAAGTTGAACTATCATCGAGTTTCTTTGGATCATAGAGATTGATGTAGTTAACATACTCAAGTAATTCTCTTGTGATTTTTAGACTGGGAGGATATTCATCAATGGTTTCCCATAGGTGAATAACTCTTACAATTGAGCAACTTAGTTACAAGATCTATCACATAGGGCCTGTGTAGAAAGAAAACAGACTTGAGTTTACCAATATCTTCTAAAGATAATCTTTGTTCCTTGACCTCGCCGATGACTGATTTTAATTGATCTCTCCACCATTGTAATGGAGAATACCATTCAAGAGTGGTCCAAATCAAAGACTTGTGGTTCTCAGGATCATTATATGTTGATACATGCATGTGGCACACCAAATATACCACAAATGGAATTTTGTGAATTTAGCATTTGGGTTTATTAAAATTGGTAGGAGAAAAGGTGTATCTGGGAAATAAGGACTATGATCTTGTAGTTTATTCCTTATGATTTTTGTCATGTAATAAAAGAGATTGTTCCTGGCATACTGCTTGAGTTGGGACGGTGAAGAGGATATTGTTATTCCTGGAGGAAGATTCTTGGTTTGGGATGCATGGGTTGGTAGTGGTTTGACCATAAGAATTAGAGGGAAAGTGTGCTTGGCTGTGATGATCTGGATGGGTTTCATAGGTCGGGATAGTAGATCAGGGATTACATTTTGGGTTCCTTTGATATGTTTTACAGAGAAATCATATCTAGAAAACCAATCTTTGAGCCTAAGAGTTTGAGGATCAGGAGGCATTTTATTTTTGAATTCAAGGATCTTAGGGAAAGAGGAGTTGTCCATCTGGACTTCAAATTGGTAGCCTCTTAAGTGGAAGTCAAACTTTTGGATTCCCATCCTTACGGCAAGGGCCTCTTTGTAGGTGGTGTGGTAGTGTTTTTCAGCTTCTTTAAATTGGCCACTGGCATGACCACAATAGTATCTATTTCCTCCAAGTTCTTCTATCAGAACTGCTCCTCAATAGTGATCACTGGCATCTGTCTGTAGAATTCTTTTTCCATCTCCAGGGATTTTTAGGGCCGAAGGAGTTTGCGCGATCTTCTTCAAAGCTTTAACTGCTTCGGTTTTTTGTGTTCCCCATGGTGGAGGTTTTTTCTTTAGCATTTGGGATAGAGTACTTGTGTATCTCGCCAGCTTCGGCAGGAAATCTCTGATATAATTAATTATACCAAGAAATTGTTGGATTTGCTTAACTGTGAGATTTTCATCAGGAAAGTTTAACAGTTCTTGGGCAATATAAGGTTGAGGTTGATATCTCCCTTGGGATAAATTCATCCCTAAGAAATCAATTTCTGTTTGTCCTAATTGACTTTTCTTTTCAGAGAGCATCATTCCATGCTGTTGGGCTATTTGAAGAAATTGGCCCAATAATTGTTTATGGTTTTTTTTTCATCTTTTGAGAACAATAGCACATCATCAATATAGATGAGGATACTGTTGAGGATTAGCTCAAAAATTCTAGTCATGGCCTTTTGAAAGAGTGATGGGGCTACCTTAAGCCCAAATGGTAACACAGTCCATTGGTACTGGGCGTTAGGAATGCAGAACGCCGTTTTGTAGCGATCCTCAAGTTCGATACCCAATTGCCAAAATCCTGACTTAAGGTCAAACTTAGAATAGATCTAGGCATCTTTGATGAAAACATTTAAGGATGAGGCTTTTGGAATGGGAAATTTATCATCTTTGAGAAAATGATTTAGAGGTTTGTAATCAATTACTAGCCTATTTTTTCCCCTCAACTTTTCAGATCTCTTTTCTACATAGAATGCTTGGCAAGCCCATTCCGATTTAGTGGGTTCTTTCAGACCTTGTTTGAGCAGTAGGTTGCATTCTTCCCTAGCTAATGCGTAATCTGATGGACTCATCCCTAGATGAGTGGCCTTGGTTGGATTAACATCTTCATTGAGCTTGAAGGGAAGTTGAATGAAGAAGTCTTTATTCTTCCATAGAGGTTTTGGGTGGCGGAATTTTTCATGGTTGTCTGCACATAGTCTGAGAAGGTTGAACTTGATCTCTTCATAGCCCGCAGGAATCTTAGAAAGTGAATATAGTTTCAGTATCCCAGAATAAGGTTTGAATTCTTTTTTGAATTTGATTTCTGTGAGGAGAATTTGGAGTTTAATTGTTGTTGAATAGATATCCATTCCTATTACAATATATTTGTTTGGAAGATTACTGCCAATGACCTTGGTCCAGACTATGCCTTCTGGGAAGAATTTAATTCTTATTTTTTCCTTGGTCATTAAATTTGTCTTGAAAACTTTTCCATTCGCTGCTACAAAGTATGCGGCATGTGTCACCCATGATTCTGCAGGGAGAATTCTTGGATTCATCATTGTAATATGGGCCCCTGTGTCCATATAAGCTATAACTTTCTTTGGATGGGAAAACTTTGTTGCGAGAACATGGACTTCAACACAAGGAAGTGGTGTAGTAGGAAGAGAACTGCCTATCTCTTTGATGGAGTAAACCGGGAGATATCTGTCATCTTCTGACTCCGAAAATGATGCTTCATCAGACGAAGAGTCTTGAAGGGCAAAAAAATTTTCTTTGTCAGCAGAGCTTTGTTCAGAATACAAAGATTCTAAGTCTCCTTCTAGAGGCTGAAGAGAGTTAATCAGTTTTGCGGCTTTATGGGTGTTATTAGGACATTCTTTTGAGAAATTCCTTTTTTTTTTCCACAAATAAAGCATCTCTGATTTTTTTCCCTTTCCTCTGAAATGCTTTCAGCTAAAGAACTTTATATTCTTTCTTTTGTTTCCCTTGAAGGTCCTGTAAGATTTGGTGTAATTTTTATGTTTCTTTTTTGTCGGAGAACCACACCTTTTGTCTTTACACTTAATCTCCAAGTAGGGTTTCTTACATGCTTGGGTGAACTTTGACTTTTGTTCTATAACTTCAGAAAATTTATGATGAAAACTGCAAAGCTTTTCAAGTGCTTCTAATGTCACCTGGTGAATCTAGCCAAGACTCATGGTTTTAATATCCTTTTGAGCTTTGACTAACATTCTATGAATTTCTGGTTGATGTTCTTGTGGTTGAGAGGATACATAGGTATTCTTGAGACTAGGGTCATTGTACCCATTAAAGACATAATACCTCTGTGCCATCCTATGATAGTGTTTGTCAAGGTCTTTTGTTTTAAGAGAACAACACTTCATCTCAAACAATTCTTGTCTATTTTTCCTATCAAATATTTCCATATCACCGATAAATTCTCGGTGAAGAACCCCAAGAACACTAGCTGTAGTTTCTAGATGATGTAACTCATCTTGTTTGAAAGCTCCTAGATTGTGATACCATTCTTTCATCGTGTCCGTCATTCTACAGCAAAATTTTTCAATGATCTTATAGCTATCTGCACTGTTTTCATCATTTGGGTGTCAAGCCAAGCTCCAAATTCAAGTAGTCTTTTTCTCTAGTGGCTAGGTGGTATATTATCAAAAGTGAACCAAGGACCTCCATTTGGTTTAGTCCTTTCAGGGACAAGAGTTTCTTCAAGGGATTCTTCTTCAGAAAAGGATTCTTCATCTTTTACATTTGCCATGAAGAGTCTTGGGAAATAGTTGTCTTCAGATTCTAATTTAGTTGAAAAAGATCTCGGTGTCTCATCAGAAGATGATTCTGGATCAGAGTTGTTGTCACCATCTGAGAAGGACTCTTCTCCCTTTTGTTTTAATGATTCAGAGTGATCTTTCCGAGGAGATTCATAATTTGTAGTGATTGCCATGGCTTAGAAAACTTTATTAGGAATTTCTTCTTCCTTTTGGATTTTTGGAGGGGGTATTTCAGGGATATCTTGAGAGTCTGAGGATGAAGCGCTCAAGCAGGCAATTTTCCCCTTTGTCTTGGAGGTTGAGGTAGTGGTAGTTCTGAAAGATTTTGGTCTGTAAGTTGTTGATATGTATTTAACCTAGTCTGATGGTGATGAAACATAAGCGGGGTAGAAAGGAGAAGGCCTTTCTAGTTGTTTGAAATATGTAGGAAAAGTAGAAGGGTCAAAGAAAGAGTTTTCAATAGGTTTGGGCTTTCTTTCATGAGAGGCTCTTAAGAAATCATCTATCTCTTTTACTTGGCTTTGTAGACTTCTGATTTCTCTTTCCTTTTGGTCAAATGTTTTACCAAAAGCTCTCTCTTCTAATATCTACCGCAAATCCCGATCTATCTGGGATACTTGGGCTTTCAAGCTTCTGTAATGTTTCTGCATTTTTTGGGATAAAACCTTGAGATCTTCATTTGTTTCGTCTATTTTTTCAGCAATCTTATCTACCTTCTTGTCAAGGTTTTGAAGAATTTCATTTTGAGAAACCATGTTTTCAGATTGCCAATTCAGAACTTCCTCAGCCTGAGTTAAAGGTTTAAGCTTCCCATCGGGCTGGACTTCACTCGGATGAATGAAGGGTTTGGATGTTCTGCCTGTGATTGGATCCATCTTTCCTTCTCTCCTGATGATTTTAAGTCCTTCCTCGTAGATACAAAGAGGTTTCTTTTTTCCATGGATTCCTACCCATGGACCATTGTCTTGATTAGATCTCTTTTGAGGAGGTGGCGAGGGTTTACACCTTCCCTTTTTCTTTGTTTTGGGAAGAATGATATCTCGGTCAATATCATCGTTATGCAACCAACAATCACAATCTGGGTCACATCTTGTTGGATCAACATCTCAAATGAAGTGGCCATCTATTTTATCAGTGTAGATGTGTTTTCCCTCTGTTGTAATAGCATAGACGGGACACCAATCATCTTTGAGAACTGGTTGGATCATCATTGACTGGAAGATCAGAGATATTGAGCTCGACCCTTCGGCTGGCTTCTTAAAGATCGTCTTGACTGTGTTGTCAACGGATATCCTAAAAGTAGCCTCTTGAGACTGGATAGGTCTTTTGTCAACATGAAGTCTCTCATAGTTGGTTATCCATTCAAGTGGAATTAGCTGAGTTAATTCTTCCCTTGTGATCTTTCTTGAAATCTGAACTATGGAGGGTATGTCTTCTTCTCTATTGGTGACAACCAATAGTGAATCAGAAGAGCATCCTAAGAGAGGAAGATCTATCGAGTGATTTTGTAAGCGGTATATTATCTAGTGATGGAGGGTGGCTGACATAGCTTCTGGCACTTGGTTAGATCCGGTGATTTGGATCTGTACTTTCAGTCTTGTGGATAAAGTATTATCATTAAGACTTACGTTATAGTTTGGGAAGATTGTGAGGACAACACTTCCTGCATGAAGTATAGTTAGAACAGTTCCTATCACAACATTTTCATAGTGGAGGTAGCTGGAGTCCAGTAGAGCTATTTTGCAAAAGATGGGTTGGTTCTTCCTTCCATGAAGAGAAAGGATGAGTCTGACAGCCCCAAAGTGTAAGGTTGTATATCCTTCAGTTTTCCAGTGGTTTATGAGATATTGGGGAATCTTCAGATCTACGTATTGCTCCTGGTTTGTAGCTCTTAGGCTGCATTGGTCTAGTATAGATGACTGGACGTATTCTTTCATATGAGGGCGATTTGTAGAAATAAGATTTCAGATGGATCTGGTAACACTTCTTTGTCTTTTGAAGATGTTGTACGGACTTAACAGAGGAGGTATTGTTTCAGAAATTTGAGCATCTTCAGGAACATGAGATTACTCAATAAGGTTTTCTATTTTATGAGAATTAGTCTTTTTACAGAGTTTAGGAAGTGATAAAGAGGAAGTAGTAGTAATAAGTTGAGTGTTTGGTTCAGGTGTTTCCATGTTTAAGTGATTTCTTCCTTACTCACTCTCTTTATTATATTCATATCATATGCACCCCTTCTCTCTGTACAGGCTCTGATACCACACTATCCGGAAGCCTTATATCTTTAGTAATTTTAATTCATTTCTCATAAATAAGCATATATTCAAGTTAAATATAATGTTGAAAACTTATCACATGTGAAGATTTAATTTTTGCATCCTTTGTAATTTTCAAAAAATATTTTTATTTTTTATAATATCAAGAGAACTTGATGTAATATTGCTTGGATGTAATTGATACTAGTTTACCTATGTATCCAATCATAGAAGTAAAGTCTTAAATATTATTCTAAAAATAGTATTTAGAATGATAAAGTCTTATCTAACCAACGAAAAAATATAGTTACGCTTAATAAATATAATTATATATATATATATATATATATATATATATATATATATATATATATATATATATATATATATATATATATATATATATATATATATATATATATATATATATATATATATATATATATATATATATATATATATATATATAAATCATTAATAAATACACTTGTTTCACCTTATGAATAAAATATATTTTTTATAACAACAAAACATTAAATAAATATGTCGAATTCTATGTCTTTCACATAGCAGAAATTGCCAATATATACACGATACAACTTCTGTTTCATATCAGGAACTTTAAACAATTTCCTATTTTATCTCCTTAGAATATGCCTACAAATAACATAATTAATGGTACAGCAAATCGCCTAGTTAATAATTTACAATACAGAATATGATAGCTATCAATCAAGTTAATGAAACATATTTTGTTTCCTTATTACCCCCCCTCAAGTTGGTGCATGTGGACTCCAAATGCCCAACTTGCCAAGCAAGGAATGAAACTGAGTGCGGCCCAAAGCTTTTGTAAAAGTATCTGCAAGTTGTGCATGAGTGGGAACATAAGACGGTTGCAGGGTGTGACGAACAATCTCATCACGGATGAAGTGACAATCCACGTCAATATGCTTAGTACGCTCATGAAAGGCGGGATTCTTTGCAATGTGCAGCGCAGCTTGACTGTCGCAGTAGAGTTGTATAGGCATCAAATGATTGATCCCAAGTCTGGAAAGAACTCCCTTGACCCACTTCAGTTCACACGTGGTACTAGCCATCGACTGATACTCAGCTTCAGCGGACGAACGCGCTACTGTATGTTGTTTTTTGGTTTTCCAAGAAATTGGAGAGTTACCCAAGAAAACAATCCATCCCGTAAGAGACCTACGAGTAAGAGGACAAGTAGCCCAGTCATAGTCACACCATCCATACAGTTGTAGATCACAATCACTATCCAAGAGGACTCCTTGTCCGGGGTTTCCTTTGAGGTATCTAACTACTCACAGAGCAGCATCCTAATGCTCAGTTCGCGGTTGCTGCATGAACTGTGACAGCACATGGACACAATATGACAATTCAGGTCGTGTAAAGCAGAGATAAATGAGACGACCCACCAACCTGCAATAACGATCGGGATCAGGAAGAAGCTCGCTATTAGAGAGGCTAAGATGATGATTTTGTTCAAGGGGAGTACTCGCAGGTTTTGCACCAAGTAAACCAACTTCACTAATAATATCTAGAGCATATTTTCTCTGACAAAGAAACACACCTTTAGGGGATCTTGCAATTTCCACCCCTAAGAAATATTTTAATTTCCCCAGGTCTTTCATATGAAAGCATCTTCTCAAGTAGTCTTTGAAACATTGTATCGAGTCGTGATCATTCCCACATATAATCAAATCATCAACATACACTAGTACCACCAGCTGAATGTCTTTATCTTGTAATGTAAACAAAGAGTAGTCTGAGTATGATCGCACAAAGCCGTAATCTTTGAGAGCCGAAGACAACTTTGCAAACCAACAACGCGGGGCTTGCTTTAACCCATACAATGATTTTTGAAGCTTACAAACCATACCTGGCTGAGAGGAGTGGAAGCCGGGGGGAAATTTCAAGAAGACCTCTTCTTGTAAATCACCATGAAGAAACGCATTGTGTACGTCCATTTGGTGAAGCTCCCATCTTTTCGCTGCGGCGACTGCTAGAACAATTCGCACGGTGACCATTTTTGCCACTGGTGCGAAAGTTTCATTGTAGTCGATGCCTTCAACTTGATGATTTCCATGTATAACTAGTCCAGCTTTAAATCGTTCTATGGTCCCATCAGAATGATACTTGATTTTATATACCCACTTGCATCCCAACGCATTTTTATTCGTTGGTAAGGAACACACTTTCCATGTGTTATTATCTTCAAGAGCTTGTATTTCTTGTTGCATTGCTAATCGCCATCTGTTGTCTTTTATTGCTTCTGCAAATGACATAGGCTCTCTGTCGCTTCCGCGAAAATAAGGTGCCGGCACAACAGAAGAGTCGCCACCTTTCGTTATTTATCGCTCGGAGCGGGAAAGGAAACGATCGGAAAAACCTTACGAAAAAGGGTAAGACAAGGTCGTCGCAACCATTGTCTGGGTTCGGGAGTCGGTTACGCAAGGGGAAGGTATTAGCACCCCTCACGTCCGTCGTACTCGACGGGATCCACGCTTGTTGTGTTTACCAGACGAGTTGGTTTTATCTATCTACCTATCAAGGCTGGCTTAAAACAGAAAAGAAAAATGACTCGGCAAAGCGTCGCACTTTATGCCTACGTATTCTCATCAGAGAATGAGAAACCAGAGTCAACGTAGTTCGACCTACGACGGGTTACGGGGAAGGTGGCTTGCCAATACGTCAGTATTGTGCCTACGTACTCTCAACAGATATGAGAGATCAGAGCTTACGTAGTTCGGGACACTACGGTTTATTTTCTGTCTTTTACGGAAGAAGTGTTTTTTATTGTGTTTGCAATTTCAATCGCACTAAAGACTATGACCTGAGAGTGAATGCGTCGCATGTCACCCAAAGGGTGCCATACTAAACATCCAGACTGTGGAAAAGAAACTCTCCCACAATCCTTTCTCAGATAGCTTAAGGCTCGTAACGTACGAAAGAAATCATTCATGATTACTGTATCTTAAGCTGTTTTGAGATGAGAAGAGAACAGGCTCAACTAGGAGGGAGACTATCAAGTCCTACTGTTGTCATGCCAAGGATTCATCCTATGGTTGAGGTTTGAAATAGGGAACTCCTAGAAGTTATCATGCATAGGTTTCAACCTAAAGTTCTATCATCAATTCCTTATCAAAGGAAATGAGAGTCCTAAGGGATCATGTCAACGATACACAGAAACAGATAAAGCATCAGCTTAAACAGTAAACAGTAAACGACTGTAAAATGCATGCAATGCAAGTGAGGGAGGAAATGTGTGTGGGGCATCAGCCTCCACAAGCTCATCTCAACCTCAAGCCAGAATGAATAACAGTACTCATACTGAAATAAAACATGCTATCAAGCAATAACAGTAAACTGCAATCATACAGAAGAAATGAAATAAAATGCCATCAGGCAAACAAACCACATGGGCAAGGGAGCAGGGCTCTACCGAATACCCGCAAGCAAAGCCATACAGTAACAATACAAGCAGAGGGAGCAACTCAACCTCTAGTGCAATCATGCTCCTAGATTAAATCTAGTCTAGATATGGACTTATTCTAATGCATCAAGCAAGTCAGACAAGGCACATCAATACAGAAAAGAAAACAGACAAGAAAGCAGATCAACCCCTCTCTCTCTTCCAAGCTTCAGCTCTTCTAACAGCAACTCAGTCTTCAGACTTCAATCACTCTTGACAAATATCAATTTGCTTTTCCAGGTTTCAACCCTTCAACATAAGTTTCAACTTATCTTCTTCTCTGAACTTCAGCTCCTTAGTCAGCTCCACCTTCAGGCTTCACTCTTAACCCCAAGTGTCAACTTGATTCCTTCAGGATCTCCAAGCTTCAAAGTAAGTATCAACTCCTTTGTTCTTCAAGCTTCAGCTCTTCAGTCAGTCTCAATTGAATCCTCTTCATAAGTATCAACTTCTCAGAGTAACCCTTAATCACTTAGAAGTGTCAACTTCATCCTCCAATCTTTACTGGATCTTCAAGTATCAACTTGATCTTCATGCTCTTCTGGCTCTTCAAGCTTTAGCTGAAATGACAATGCTCAGGGAGTCATCCTTTTCCATACTCTTCAATGAAGTCTTCATCTTCACACTCAAGCCCAACATCTCTCAAGATACTCAAACCAGGAGAATTACTTAACTGGATAAGCTAGGACATTAAACTGCTTATTGACCACCAAAGGTGACCTATAAGGGTTCAACATCAAAAGAATGGTTCCCTCAAAGGTTCTACCTCCTAGGTACCATCACTTATCCCTCCAAAGGAGGGAGGTGAATACCATGGAAGGACCTTGAATCATGAGGAGGAATGGAGGTGAAAGATACCATCCATGTTTAAGAAAGGAATCAACTAAGTCTAAGCTCTTCCTAATCCCTAACCCTAAAACAACAACAAAACAAACAAGATTCTCAAGCTCTCAAGCTCCTTCTTAAATCCTCAAGTCTTCTACTATGCTCCTCCATGCTCCTCAAAGCAAGACCAAGCCCAAAAACCCACAAAGCAAGGCAAAACAAAAAATCAAGCCCACAAGGGCAACACAAACAACAATCAACTACAAAAATCATTTAAAAATAGTATACTATTATATTAAAACCTAATATAATTTCTAGGGGATCCTAGATACCTACCCTTTAATACCCTATATGTCCCAATATCTAA